CTGATGCCACTGTTGGGAGCTAGTAGATTTGGTCTTAGTCGTGGGTCAAAAGACACACGATGCAGAAGATGCTCAAAAAAATAATAGGGGTTGAGGGGGAGGGCAGAAGTACTCCATGCAGCCAAAACACTGGCAGATTCCTAATGCTGGTTATCCTAAAACTTTTGTAGCAGCATTTTTTCTTACTTATGTTAAATATCCCTGAAAGGGGCTGAGAAGGTAGCACCTGATACCTTTCAGCGGCTGCTTGCTGCTTCCAGCGGTTCTTTATACAGCCTGGGGTCGAGCCCATGAAGATACAGGTGCTGTGTGCTTGCTAGCCCTAACCGATGCTGCTCTCCAGAAGCCCCAGCTAGATGCACTTCACCTGCAGTAAGGTTCTGCCAAGCCCAAGCTCTCAACTCATTCAATGGAGATGGCAAAATTCCATTCTTAACTATGGTCTGGGGTCTGAATTTCAGACTGCGTACTGTTCAGCAGCTGTACCACAACTCCCTCTGCTGGCAATGGAAGGTTTACACAAAGATCAAAGGTTAGATATGGATGTTAGGTAGTATCTAAACTTTATTTATTTGGTACCTTCTTGTCATTCATCATCACTCAGTGGAGGAAATAGTGGCATTTTGACGAGCACTGCTGTTTAATCTCTTTTGTATTTGTGGCTCACTCTGACCTTTTGTGCAGCTCCCTGGTTCTTCCCTGTACCAGCCCCGCCAACATTCCGTCCACTATTCTGCGCAATATTGATATAGCTAATGTCAACATTAAGTGTTTTCATTAGCCTTTGGCATTGACTCTCCATGGAGATTAGTAAGGGGCTGGGGTGTTATTTCAGGCAGGCTGCAGACTGAGGAAAGCAAGTGTGTCAGTTATACTCAGCTCCCAATTTGTAAAGGTTTTCTTTGCAACTCTGAGAGCTAGAAACGTAGAAAAACTCAGATTGTACATCATCTGAATACATCACGTGGACTATGTTAATACGTGAAGCAGGCTCTGCATTGAGCCAAGGCTCGAAAATAAGCATTCTTCCAAGATCAAAATACTCTGCATTCAAACAGAAAATAGAAATTTGTAAGAGCCCCACCTACTACTATCCCTTCCAGCAGGGTAGAGAACTCCCTGCTATTGTCAATTTTGTCTTGAATGAAATATTCATGATTCTAAGGCAAAGAAGATTTGAACAGAGAGTTCAGTACAGTTGAGGGTGCAATGGTAGGAAGGGAGAAGTATTATTAGATTCATTTAAAAAGAAAGGGGGGATCCTATTCAAGATGCCAGGTGTCCCTACCATGAACTACATAAACAGAATTAGATTATGTATAAAACACCCAACTCTTCTCTCTCCCACCCATCTGATGAATCTCAAAGGCCCACCTCCATAGCAGCCCACATAAATAGGCATGTCTTGCAGTATATTCTGAAGTTCAATAATCCGGGGCTATTTCAGACTGGAGAGGAAGCCTGTGTCAGCACAGAGGCTGTTCACAGAAACCACCACCACCAGCCCCTGCTCTTTTAAATCAAGGAGGATCCCACACAAATGCCTTCACTGATTGCAGTTGTGGCAGGGTGGCACAGCGAGAGACAGTCTCTCTAGCAGCAATATCCCAGCCCATTTAGGGCTTTATAGATCAAAACCTGCAGTTTAAATCAATCTAAAAAAACAACAGGTAGCAATACTGATCATAAATCACCAGTGACACATGCTGCCAACAGGAAGCCCTGCTTTTATAGATGGCTGTTGCTCAATTTCTGTACCATCTTAAATTTCCAGATAGATCTACTGCTATGTGATCATCCAACAAGACAACAGCTTGGGATCCAATACAACTCCCGCTTTGCGAACACAGGTAATGTGATGGGAGCATAGTCTCCATCAAAGGGAGGTAGGATTACTTATTGCATTCGTGCATTTTTAATAAATAATGGGCATGCCAGCTTTGCACCACAGGTGCCTTATGTACTACAACTCTATTCCATAAGTTATAACCAATGGCCATGCATTTGATCACAAAAGTATTGCCTGAAAACGTCACACAAGGACAGTATTGTTTGTGTATATATAGCATCTTTGCATCCTAAACCTGACACTGTGGCGCAGTATTAATCAGAAATAACGCTTAGCTTCTATTTTCATACAGTAGCCTTCGATATCCTTGAAAGGTCACCCTAAGCAGCAGCACTGCCATAGGATTTGTTGCTTAACAAGAGAACGCATTGACGAGGATACTACATTTCCCACAATGCATTGCTTGGGCGTCCTACGGTGGCCTGTAGTTAAACTCAGGAATCCTTTATCTATTCGCCTCTTTAAATGTTAATCAGCTGACTGAAATTCTTCACAGCAGCTATGGCTGCCTTCCACGCAGGATTGTTAATGGGTTAGCGTGGGTGATTTTAAATTTAAAAGATTAGAGAGAGAGCAATGTACTGTTCCCTGAGTGCATAACACAGAACGATATCAAAGTATATTTCGGTGAAGTTTTTTATTTAAGCCTTGAAAATCTATGTAAATCCCCCCTCCACTGAAATCATTCCTGTTGTATGCATAGCCAACACAACTAAATACATAAATAAACATGGGGGAAATACTGCATAAATTGGTCTCCCCTCCCAGAAGTTTTCCCACCTCAGTGTTTAGCAAATGCCTTCTTTTGTTTTTTGTTTGCAATGCATTTGATATACTTTTTACACATAAAAATGGGATTTTCCATCCCTCTCCACCGTTTATTTCCCTTTTCAAATGATTTCTGTTGAGGTTCAGGACTTTGCAAATAATTTAATGCATTACTTTTCCACCCCTGTAATACTTTTGTGTTTGCTGCTGCTGTTCTATCTAAATTTTCGTTCTAGCACAGCATGTTAATATAGACTCATTTGCATGAGCCACTCCAAGATGAATGGTGGGTTTAAAACAAAAAAAGATTTTTTTTTAAACCTGCTGGTTTCGTTACGCATCCACGTCTTTGAAAAAAAATCCCCTCGTGTTTAATAAACTGTCACATACACGTTAAACTGCTGCTAAAGTACATGAGGCACTCGATGAAAATGTAGCTGCTGAATGAAGCAACAGCGTCCAGCGTTTAATCCCTGCGTGCCTATTGGTAAAGCAACCGATCCACAATTTGGATCAAAATATTTTAGGAGGTCAGATCCTACCCCCTTCTCACCTAATATTCTCACTTTTGCCTAGAGCTCACTGAATAGCTTTTCTCCCCTTAAACTATCGAGCTGCACCTATTAGGTTGTCTCTTTCTCTGCTTCGTGTATTTATTTATTTTTAAATCGTGTGTTCACCTCTCCTCTTCCCCCCCAATTAAAATAAACACCCATCTGAATTAAAAAGGAGAAAGCTATTAGACGGGGGTAGACAAGCACACGAAGAGGGGGCTGGAGAGAAACAGATATGGAAATTTTCAAGGACAAATGGTTGATTATTTAAATCCTGTAACTAAATAAAATAATTCTTCCCGTGCATTGTTTATAAACTGACAAACTATTTGTCCGATTGTTCCCTATGGCATGCCCTGTAATTGAGCTGGGAAGGGTGGGTGCGTCCCGATCTGTGGGTCCATGTATGTATATATATTTGTTTGGTGGTGGTTTTCGTGTTGTTAGGATTCCAGGTTATTTTATGGCTATTAAAAAGTGTTTCAGATGTATTTTAACTCTCTCCATCTGAAGTGACTCGGTACCATAAGGTCTCAGATTTCAGCCCCGCACCTCACTTTTTGCGGCCACGATGTTATTTTATTCCCATTTGTTATAAAAAATAGAAGGAAAAGGGGGAAGAAAAAACAAGCTATCCTTCCAGCAAAATGGCGATGGCACGTACATTTAATCCCCTAATAGCAATTAAACACTTTCCCAAGATATGTATGTAAATTACGGTCACACTAGCGATAATCTGCCCCTCTCCCAGTCCCAGGCTCCCCCTCCCCATGTCCCCTCAAAGAGGGTGGAAATATGTTTTGAAAGGATAAGATCAATTCCTCACTTAAAAAATGCAGGAGGAAATAAAACAGCTCAGGATTGCCCCTGTGCAAGTCCCTAAAGCAGTTTGTGGGGGGCAAACGGGATGGGGAGGTGACAGGTGCAGCCCGTGGGGTACCTGGCTGGGTGTGTGCTGAGGGCTGGGGTAAGGTATGCGGCGTGTGGGGTGTCTGTGTCCCCCAATTTTTTCTCCATGGCAGCTGGGTTTGTTATTGTTTAGGAATCTCTGTGCCCAGTGCAGTGGTTTTTGGGGAGAGGGACAATTGAGAGAACCCCCCCTCCCTGCCCCCGCTGCCCCCCATATAGCTCAGGCATGGGTGGGGCATGTCCCCTGCCCGTGTGCCCCCAGTCCCAGACAGGGGGCAGCCAGGGGGACTCTGGGGGAGGGGGATGGCTGCAAACTTCCCATCTAATACCAAAGAAAGTTTTGCAGAGCAGGAGTTTGGGGAGGGGGCGAGGAGTGGCGGTCCCGGGGCTGGAGGCGGGAG